GAACAAAAAAGGACAGCAACTTGTCTGTTCCCCTTCCCTCAATTCCCCAGCGCTGTTCCCATCTCTCAATTCCCCAATTAAAAAAAAAAAAATCTTAAAAAAAAAAAAAAAAACTTAATTTTCAGCTTGGTTCGGATCCCACATGTGGGCCAGTGACGCTGCGCCCTCTACAGCTAAGATGGTGAATAACAGCTCGACCTGGAGCTGAGCTACAGTGAGTCGCCGGCGATGGCGTAGGCTGCAGTGGGCTGCCATAAGCTACCGAGAGTGGCTGGCAGCCGGCGTGAGCAGCTGGCAGCCAGCATGAGCTGTCAAGAGCCGGCAACCGATCTGCCTCCCCAGGGAAGAGCTCAATGATAATACCAACATGGGCCAGTGAAGCAATGTCCTTCCCAACTAGACTGAAGAACAAAAGGACAGCAACTTGTCTGTTCCCCTCCCCCAATTCCCTAATAAAATCTTTAAAAAAATAATAACAAAATAAAAAGAGCTTATTCAGTTCCCCTGCTCTTTCCTTGCCATTTGTTGGTTGTGACCTGGACTTCTACATTTGCCTTAAAAGCATCCAAGTGACCAGGCAGCCCTCAGAAATGACTCAAGTCAGAGCCAAGGACTCTTAACTGTTTGGCCAAACGGCTCACAAACAACTCACATAAGCACAGCTGGCTAGAGAGGGATGAGGAGGCACCGATCACAGAGATGCTAAATCATTTACCCTTCTGCAGAAACCCAGAGGTGCAAGACAAGGGTAAGCCACCAGATCAATCCAAGCTGGCTTCTGCCAGTGAGATGTCTGGCAGTTACCAGCTACTCTGATGCAAGTAGGCTGCCAATCATCAACTTGACTCCAAAGAGGAAGTCAGACACAGAAGTCAAACACACCCACAACACCCACCACTGACACCAATGATAGCAACGCAGGCTGCTCATGACAATCACCTGGGGAGCTCTGAAGTGCACAATTCAATCAGACTCCCCCGAATGCTATATGCAACACTGTAAATAAGGACCACAAGCAATTACAAGATTACAAGTCACCTAAGTCCTCAACAACTGGTGCACTCACACCCCCCATGGTACAGACCTCGACAGGTGCAGCTGGGAGCCCCAAACATCTGTGGAGAGTGTTTATATCATGCTTTTTGTTACAGCTGTCTTTCACCAGGGAAAATGCTGTATTTCCTGCAAACTATTTCACAAAAGCAAAGCAGACCACGCTACTATTTCTCTGGCTGTGCTAATAGTTCTAGTAGACTGAAAGACCCTAAACTTGGGAACTATATTAAGTAGTGGAACATCCTAATCAGCTTGATGCTTCTGAAGCAAAATCTTCTTGGGGATGGGGCAATTTTCTTTTGGCATTAACAGCCGATATAAAATCTAACTCATTCATTTACTCACCTTATCAAAAAATAATGATTCAGTTCCTACACCATGCTTGCTGGCGTCTGCCATAGAAGAATCCTTCAGGTTGAGCAGTTTGGGTTTCTTCTGCAAAAATGGGAAAATACAAACGTGTAAGACCAAACGTTGGGCTCCTCTGAATTGTATTTTCAGCTATGTTCATTGCTTCCCTCATCAATCATTGCTGATTGATAATTTGCAACAAACGAGAGAATTCAAGTCCCTAACTCGCGTTGTGCCCTATGAGACTTCCACATCTTCTCTACTGCAGTTTGCCTGTCCATTTTTCCCAGTGTCACACATCATTCTACTTCCCAAAGATTCTCTCTGCAAATGGTAACAGCATTACTGTGATAGACTTAACATCCGTAACTTTTCCCATGGGCCAAAAGGAACTTTATTTGGATCCTAATGCCACTGCCTTGTCTTCCTAGCTGTGGAGGCAGAAGAGGCTGTTAGTAAAAAGAGAAGGAGTAGATAGCCTAGAGTGGATAGAAATCAATCTTTAACCTTTAATTATTTTTCACAATTTAAAAATTCATGAAAAAAAAAAAGCAGTTTATTTTCCTAACAGAACTACCTGTCTTGTCAGCAATACCCACTCAGATGAATTTAAGACTGCTCTTTCAAAGGAAAAGAATAGGCCATGACATACTCTCAGGCCAGAATTTACTCTTAAAAAGCCACCTCTCAGGATCTGTGAAGAAATGTACAGACTTTGGGGGCTGGGGGTGGGCGCAGCATTCACCTTTGCACCCAGAGTTCCCCAGCTGAGGAGCGATAGCCACTGCTTCCTGCCCGAGGAGAAAGCAGGCAGGGAAGTCTAACCCCCAATATAGTGTTTCCACCTGTGGGGATCAAGCGCGGGAGGAGACCAATTCAGGAGAGGAGCAGATCTGCTGACCCGATTCTTGTTACTCACATCAATAATATTCTTTACTGAAGTGAAGAAATACAAACTATTACTAAGTTCAACTTGCTTTGAAAGAAGAAAACATTATAAGCACTAAAAAACATCCTTCAAAGGTGTCAGCAACACCTAATACGTCAGTCTTTGTAGTTATCTGCTTGCCTACCAGTCACCTGTCATTATTAGAAATTCCACTGCCTTTTGTTATTCTTTAAGTTCTGCAGACCTGCCTCTCCTCTTTTCTGTTATATACTGCTTTAGAATTAGCTGAAGCAACCTTCAGTACCGACAGCAGCCCTCTCCCTAGACCAGCTGCACCACATAGAGTACCGGAGTGGGCCTGGCTTTCTGCAGGCAGATGAGTAGTGTTTGCTGTAACAAGGGGCATCGCATGACAGGTCACTAACAGGAATTTAAGACCTCCTTCTGCTTTAGCCCCAAGGTCCTACCTTGGAGATTAAGATGATACAGATAAGGTCTGGCAAATCAACAATGGACCATGGGTAGAACAGGCCTCTAACCCAGAGGTCTCAAAAAGTACACGCACTTTCCTCACAGGAGGACCGCAGAGACCACTGACTTTTTTCTGAAACAATTATCAGGCGTAATCATCTTTCTTAGCACAAGGCAGATTTAAGGCATCAAAACAGAAGAAGGGAAAAATTAGTAAGTCTCAGAAACACTTGGCAGAAAACAAAAAAAATAGATGACAGCTAATAGAGAGAAAAAATGTAAAGAAAACCAATAAAAACTCACAGCAGCAACGTGATCTGAGTAATTACTAGTATTCTAACGTTCTTCTGCAAAGCCACATAAGAAGCTTTGCACTGAGTTTCTGTGCCATACACCAACCCACTCTCAATGTCCAGGATCCCATTGTCAGTAGGCTTAGGACCATAACACAGGGCCAATTCTAGAGTACCTACGCACTAGAATTGCTCCGGGAAGTCAAATCAAGCTACGGCTGCCCATTCTCACCTTCACCGGGGGGGTGGTCCCCGTTCCAGAGTGTCTGCGGATCTGGCAGCCATTCTGGCTGGGCCTCTGTGGCTTGTTGTTCAGTTGGGGCTTCTTCACAGTGCCTCCGTGATCATTTCTCACAGAATCAACCTTCTCAGCAGTTGTTTTGCTTAAAAGCTAATTAAGACACATGAAAGAGATTAATGCTCTCACCAAAGCAAGTATCATATAGAAAAAGTCCCCTTCTGATTCCAGCTTCCAAACTTATCTAAGATAATAATTCTAAATAGTGCATAATTCTTATAAATACAACTTACCACTGAGCTGTTGGCATCTGGTAAAAACTGTCCAAACTCTGACAACAGATCTTCCTGATTTTTGAAAAGACGAGCCACCTGGGCATAAACCTCCTGCTCAGTCAACGCTGGAGTGTAGTTTCCTCCCGCTTCCTTGGCATTCCGCTGCTCTTTCTGATAAATTGCAAATGGGAAGAGATCATACTGGAGGCGCACTGTTTTGAATGACTCACTTTTGCACTTTCTGAGATGTCTGATAGGAGCTCTGTATATTATCTATTTGGGGTGCACTTACGAAGAAAGTCTGTGTTCTCACCAACTGTTTTGACTGCAAGCTCGTAAGTTGAAGGAGTAGAAGATGGTGGCTGGCAATTCCTTTTAAAACTAGGGCAGTTAATATGTGAATGCTCAGGGGACTGTTATCAATTGATGAAACAAAAGTCATTAGAGAAATTTCTCCTCCTTCTTCTGAAGATTAACTATATACTACACAGTCATCCTCTGAACTTCCGACACAAATAAGCATTAATTTCCAGGGCAGTAACTTTAAAAATCCTGACTGCCTGCTATGAGGCAATTCAAGCTGAGCAATCACATGTATTAGAAACACGTATCAAGGTTTCTAACTCATTTTCAGTAGGAATTAGCACAAAAATGGTATCCAACTTCTTCTCGGACTAGATACCCTCAGAAGGTGACCTGGTTACAAGAGGTTGAAAGGGCAACTCTCTTACCTGATATGTGTGCAAAATCTCCAGGAATGCTTTGTAGATGTCTGGTTGGCCCTGGAACCTGTTCTTGATCTTATTAACATAGTTGATGGCATGATTAAACTCCACAGGCTGATTGTTCTGCAAGGATGGGGCCGTTCCCAATGAGACTGTCACTGGTGTGTGAGGTTGGACAGGTGGAGAACGTGGGGATGCATATGGTGGGAGTGGGGGAGTCTGCTGACTGGCTGCAGTATGTGCTTGTAGTTGGGAAGGCTAAAAAGAAAAAAGTCTTTATTCTCCTCCGGAACACAGATGGTTTGACATAGGAAAGAAATTCAAACTAAAGAGAAACAAGGTATCTGATCAACTTATATCCTTTATTTCCTCTGGCCAGGCCGTTTCAGCCCAACTCAAATCACACTGGGCAGGGGTGGGAGGTGTGGAGGGTTCACACATTCTAATACAAATATTTCAGTCTCAAAATTTCTAAATACAACTTAAAAGTAGATACAAGGAAGAATTTTTCATATGCAATTTTAAGCTCACTAGCTCAACAGGTACAAATAGAGTAAAAAAAAAAAAACCCCTCATTCTACATTGATCTTTAATGTCAAAACAATTCAATTATTGCAGTTAACTCCACGTAAAAATCTAAAAACCAGCTCTGCCCAATAGAATTCTCTGAGATGACAGAAATGTTCTTTATTTACTGTCCTGTATGATACCCACTAGCCACACGAGGCTACTGAGCACTTGAAATGTAGCTAGTGCAACGGAAAACTGGATTTATTTTAAATAAATTAAATTTACATATAGCTCCACGTGGCTGATGGCTGCTGTATCAGACAGTGCAGAACCATCATCAGTAGGACCTTGTGCTTAGCTTGGTATGAGCTACTCTGTAAATGGAGTGACTTCTGTAAAATGATGACCGTGCAGGCAGTGGCATAAGCTGACCGTTTCTGCCTTTGTTGTCAAAGTACTACTACACAAAGTCGCCGCGTTTGGGATGCTTGGGGGCTCAATAAACAGTAGTTGGGGACAAGACAGTCCATGAAGGTTGTTGATGTCTAGATTTAAACAGATATCTCAATATGTGTTATGTAAATGTGAACCATTTTATAGGGATGTGACTGCTGCGCCTTCTCTAATGAAACCACCGTAACATGTGTATCTAAGCCTTGTATAAAGAGGAAATGCCAAAGGAGGGTGTTTTCTAGGGATGCATTTCATGTGACAGTTTTCCAAGTGCTCACCTTGCTGACTTTGGCAGGTGGGGGCTGAGGAGCTGGCTGGACAGGAGCTGGGGCTGACTGGGCTGAAGGCTGGGAAGGATGTTGGGGTGGTGGCTGAGGCTGGGGCTGGATGCCATGGGTAGGGATCTGATGCACCTGGCCTGGAGTTGTCACGTTCACCATGTCATTGGTTTGCACCTCAATCTTGTAGCCAGGAGGCAGGAAGGTATTGAAGCCCATGATCAGGTCCGGGTGGCCTTTGAACAGCTGGGACACACGACTTATTACTCCTGGAGTGTCAATGCTGATAAAAAAACGAAAATTAAAGTGGCAAGCTCAACAAACACCCTAGTAAGAAAGAAAATTCATATTCCACTAGGTTCCCTAAACAGGAAAATAGATAAAAAATCAACCTGCATATTATACATAAAGAACACACAAAGAACTCTGAAATTCCAAAGGTACTTAGCTTCACAAAGAGATTTGGTCATAATGCTGAACAGAATATACACTCGTGATAACAGGCCTACCAAGGAGGTACATACTCAGTAAGTCTACAGTGGCAATTCCCATGTGAGATCCAACCCGCGGCACCCCACATAAATCATCATGGATCTACATGTTCAGAGAGTTGAGTTAATCTCCTGTAACAGTGAGCCAAGCCAGAACAGTAGCATGTCTTAATTCAAAGAGCAAATAGCCTAATCATTACCAGTCTACTACCTTGATTGAGATGAAGTTCTAAGAAAAATTTTAGTTAAGAAAAATTTACCAGTAGAAAGGAAACAAAGATCGAGGGCCTATAATTTATCAATAAAGCAACACATAAAGTAAAAAGACTCTGAAAATTAACCCCCCAAATGGGGGCATCCTTTATCTTTCAGAAGATGAGAATAACCTCTATCCTCCCTCCAAAATCCACATTCCAAGCACAAAGCTTGAGTATACCCACACACATCTTTTACCTCTGAGACTTAAATTCCTTCATGATATCCAGGAAATCGTTGTAGACCTGAGGCTGACTACCAAACTGCAGCTTCACCTGGTCAAGGTAGGACAGCGCATCCTCCACCTGAGGCGTTATGAAAAGAAAGTAAGCCAAGAAGTATGAAAACATGATTTAGGCCTGAGTAAAATTAACACATTATGTGAAATAGAAATATACCGTAAATATACATGAAAGTTTTAAAATCAGTATGAACCAGACGTGGTGGCCAAGTAAGTGGTAAGACGTCAGTCTCATAAACCAAAAAATTAGTATGGATGCCAATAATAAAACTCAAGCTTCAAATAAAAATCAACTCAAAATCCATAGCCTTGCCTTGGATAATCTTAGGGAAAATGATTAGTGAAGAATAATCACATTACTATATCACTCAATTATTTGTTCATTTATTCATTTCACAAAATCTATTAAAGCCACAGCATGCGACACTAGGGCCAACGTGAGGTACTAAGGATCAGTGACAAACAAGCCACTGTCCCTGCTCTACAGAAGTTCATTCACGTCTAGCTGGGAATCCTAACACAGTGGGATAAGCGGGTGATCACTGAACATACAGCGAGTACATGAGAAGGGCACAAAGGCGTTCTTTCCCAGGAGGCGATGTCTAAACTGAGTTCTGAGCATGAGTATAAATTAGCAAAAGTGAAGACCTATGAAGAAAGTCAGAGGAAGCAGCATGGGCAAAATCCTACACAGGACACCGTCTTCTTGTATACTTGGGAAACTGAAAACAGTTTAATTTGGCTGGAGGGTTTGAGATGGAGAGGAGGAATGGTAGAAGTGATGAGCAACAAGATGACACAGGAGAGGAAGCAGGCCTTGTAAATCTTGTTAAAAAGCAACTGAGTCGGAGAAAGACAAATACCATATGATTTCACTTATATGTGGACTCTAAAAAACTGAATGGGCGAGGAAAGTGAACAGAGGTGGTCTCAGAGATGTGGGGGTGCAGTTGATGGCTGTTGGTTGTGGGGGTGGGGATGAGGGAGAGAGGGAGGGGGCTGGATAGCATAAATACACAGCTGCAGTGTTGCCATGGGGACATGGGGGACAGTTGGAGGAATGTAATTGATAATGTGAATATTTTGTAGGGTGTCAGGTGGTCACATGTCTTGCATCATGGATGGGGAAGAGGCTTGATCACTGCACTGTGCACCTGAAGTTGATGTTGTATAATATTGTATGTCAACTATAATTGAATATGTGTGTGTGTGTGTGTGTATATATATATAGAGAGAGAGAGAGGGAGAGGGAGAGGGAGAGGGAGAGGGAGAGAGAGGGAGTGTCATGGGACGTGGAGTATAGTGTGGGAGTGGAGTCAAGGGATTTGTAATAGATATGTATGATATTGGGGGGAAATGGGGCGGCGGATTGGGGGAGGGGGGTTGTCACTTCGAGGGGTAAAAAGTATAACTATTGCACTGTGTTGTACAGCTGAAACTAATTTTTAAAAATGTGTATTTCATAATAAAAATAATTTACTAAAAAAAAAAGAGCAATTGAGATTTTTATCATCTCAGTGCACTCAGCTGGGCTACAGTGCTGAGAACAAACTGGTGCAAAGGGAGGAGAGAATGAAGGAGGCAGGAAAACAAGTTATGCTCTAAGGCTAATTCACATGTGAACAATAGTGGCTTAAATTATAGTATTGACCAAAGAACAGGGAGAACTGGACAGATTCCCAAGCTTTTGAGGAGGTAGAAGTGACAGAGTTTGGGGGCTGACTAATACGGGAGATAAGGGCGTACATTCACTAAATTATAAATTATTTGGGCATTCACAAAAAGAAACAGTTTGAAGGGCTAGAAAGTTATGAGTCTGATTTAGAACAACTTAATTTTTAGTTACTCAGGAGACATCCAAGGGAATTACCTACTAGGTGTTTCCTATATACTCTGAGATTATTTTAAATTATACAAAATACCAAGTTTAGGAAAGTTTCAAAAACAAACATTTGATTTGATAAGCTCTACTCGTGATAAATATTGTGAAATAGAACATTTATGTTCAAATAAAGCAGGGGTGTCAAACTGGCGGCCTGCGGGCCGCATGCGGCCCTCGAGGTAATTTTTTGTGGCCCACGATGCTCTGAAATAAAATGAAAATAGAAAAAATTGTTATGAAGAAAATAGCGCTTAGGGGAGATAGAGGCAATACCATACACACAATTCCCTCATTAACCCTTTAACTACTGAAGACGAGTATACAAAAAATTACCTCAAGGGCCGCATGCGGCCCGCGGGCCGCCAGTTTGACACCCCTGAAATAAAGCATTAAATGACATTTCAAGAGTTGTCCAGACTTCCATAATAGCCATAGTTAATCAGAGCATTTCAGTGTTGCTAGGGCACAGATTGCATACTTGGCCAATACCCACTAATGTGATGGTTGGTTTTTCTGTACTTTACAAAAACCATGACAATTTCTGTTGAAATTCAATGAACTATTTAATTCATATTCAGAACTTTCCACAGCGAAATGTTTCATTAATGAAAAGATGATGGAGCATAAAACTCATTAAGTTTGCAGAAGGAACAGACTTTGGAAGATATTTTTAAAAAGCATTCACAATCACGTGACAAAGGAGGAGTTATAAAAAAATAAACACAGAAAAATTAAACAAGAGCACACATGGTATAATGTTATTACTACAGAGAAAGAAAAAGTGCAGAAACCTGTAAAGAAAGTATATGTGATATGTATATGTTTGGAAGAAAAGGTATAGGTCATAGTGAACCACTGTTTAAAAATTAGTTATAAAATAGCACTATGCTTTAAAAACACCAGCTTGACATCCGTATTATAAATGAGCTACTGCATGTAAGAACAATGAGAAAATTCTCTCATTTCCTAAAATATACTTCAAAGGGATTTATACAGTTCTAGGAACCACAGCTTAGAAAAAAACCACTTGGAAATAGTCATTTAGAAGCTACACATTTAAGGACATACTAGGGTAGACCCCTCAACTCTGTTGATGCATTTCCTGGCTCACTTCAACAGGCATTTATTACATTAAGGTCCCTAACCTTCTGAAGTTCATAATCTTGTTGGGGAGACAAACACAAACAACTGTGAAGAGCACTTGCTAAATATGTGCCAGGTATTTATGCTGCTGGCATTCAACAAATAACTAAACCACACCAAACAAGCCTCATTATTCAAATTCTCCTTGTCATCAGTCTACCAAAGACAAAAAAGTATAGACAATGTTGATGCTTGAAATAACCTACACATTTCTCACTGGACACTTCCTTATTATAGAATACAAATGGTTTATTGAAGTTGACTCAAATGCTTGTAAAGCATTTTAAGACTGATCCAAAAATGGCAGGCAATGTGGGAATACTGAATGAAACTACATGGAGGCATAAGAAAGCCTTTTACCTCTCCTCATTAGAAAGGAAATGCAACAAGTTACCATGTCAGGAATCATGCAGAGCTTGTTACAAGAACAGAGCAAGAAATCCTAACTCTACCCATGACTCAATTCTATAACCCCAACTCCAAAGCCCTTTCTTGCTTCCTTGACAGTTTCTGTAAAACAGACAAAGCACAATCTACCTACTTACACCCAAGTGAGGAAGGTGAGTAAAACAGGAGCTCTGCTTTGATGGAGCTGGCTGACAAAAGCTATAAATACATTTTTGTTAATTAATAGCAAGTTTTAAGCCCTTTTGCAACTTTAAGGTATCAAATGCTGAATACCGTATTACTATGAAATTAAATCACAAACCAAGTTTACAGAATGTTTTCAGGGGTTGGTGAAGTGCCAGGTCTACAGCAATACTATACTTTGGTGCCCAAATCTCACTCCACAAGCAGAGAAAAAAAAATGTCATAAGGAAAACCATCAATATTGCTTATATAATACACATTTTCCCAAAGACAGAGCCCAGAGTGAAGTTTCAGGCCCAAATAATGTGTACACTAAAGACTACGCTGAAATATAGTCAACTTTTAATGACTTAAGCTAATATAGACTAAGTAAATTTTATGAAATCTCTCTATATAGCTTAGCTTTGGTACGCTTTATATTTACATAGAATCTACTTTCCTTAGACCAAAATTAAATAAGTTCCTGAGAACTCAAACCAAGGAGGACAGGGTGATGGAGAACTAGACTAAGTATCAAGGAAAACAGAAGGCTGAAATATTTGTTCATTCCTACCTGCAAGCTACTTGATATAATTAGGCTGACAGGACCAAATAAAGATTCAACATCTTATCTCTTTACAGTTCTTTAATTTTGTATTTCCTGCACTTGAGTTTAAATTTTACATAAATGTAAAATTAGAAAAACTGAAATCTGAAATGCTTACTGCATCACACATTTTAAAAATTAGCACTCGAGTAAGCAGAGAAAAAAGGTTAGCTGGGAACACAAGCTTCACTTCTCCACAGATGCCTCATGAATTTCAAAGCACTGAAAACCTATAGCACATACTCAGCAGAACAGATGAAAACACTAACACTTCATTCACAATTATAATCTTCCTCTAACTTTATAAATGTTCCCCAAAAAGGAGTGTGTGTTTTACTAAGGATAGACTTGAAGATGATAGCCAATTCAGCTATTCATAAACAGGAACAAGAAGATTAAACCGTAAGATAATAAATACTGGGCCCATTTACTGTACCGGACTGTAGCCAACCATGTGCATGCTCCATAAAACCTTGTACTACGCTGAATTAAGAACTACCAGTGAGAGTTCAAAAGGAAGCATCGAGAAAATGGACTTTGCTAATATCCCCTCAATCCTGATACATCTGAGTGCCATGCATCCATCCATTCCCAATAATGTTTCTTGAAGGTATTCTCTAAATCAGGCACTGGTGCTATGATGCAGAATCTAAGGTTTCAAAACAAAAACAAAGTAAAATTTCTTGTGATTCAGCCCCTATCTAGTGTTAAAAGTTGTAACACCACTACTAATAGACGGAAGCCAATGCTGCCTGCTATGAGACACACTTTTTGATAGAAGCAAAGGAGCTGAATACCACCTTGAGCCTCTGAAACTGCTGCTGCCCCTGCACTGGTGCGACGGGTGGGGCTGGGTGAGCATGGCTCTGGACCACCTGGCCTCCGTGGGGCTGCACGGCTGCTGGGTGATGATGGCTGCTGTGCACTGCTGCTATGGTGGGCCCATGACTGCCACCGGAGCCCTGCGGCACAGCTGAAACCTGGGGTGGACAAAGTACACACAGGAAGTTCAAGGCTTGAGCATTCTTCCCCAAATGTGTTTAAAAAACATGCATGCATATCTTCGCATACAAAAAATAATTAATTAGAAACCCAAATTTCCCACGATGGAATTGGTGAAATTAATTAGAGCCCACCGAAATTGTAACAGAATTCTCTGCAGTATTATATATTATATAGCTCTATACTTCTCAAACTATCTGTGGTTAAACACCAGTTTTTATTTTTTCTTAAATTCCAATCCATCATGGGCCACTACTTTTTACAAAATACAGTAAAAATGAATTACTAGAAAAGTGAAATAAAAAATACATTAACCCATAATTTTCACTATTAGATTTTACAGATATAAAATTACAATGTCTACTCACTATAAAAGTTTCTAAATACTCAATTTCTACACTTACCTTATTACGGGTTAGTAAAAAACTATAAACATCAGCCATTTGTGGACCATGTTTTGAATAGCACTAATACAGATGCATGTATTTTAACATTAAAAAATGTTCACAATGAATACATGAATGTATTCATTCATGGGCTGCATATGAATTTAAACTTTTAAATAATTTTTAAAAACACATTACAAAGCAGTATACGTAATACAAAAATATTTTAAACTCTAGACAACAAATATACAATGTATCAAAATATTAGCATTTTATCTTCTGGTGGTGGGGTTAGAGAAGATTTTTACTGTTGTTTATTTTGCTTATCCTTATTTGCTACTTCTAAAGTAAAATAAAAATTTCTTCCAATTTGTTGGTGGTTTGACTTCAAATGTTTCTATTCTCTCATTCATAATCATTCCCATTCTCTCTCGTCTCAATCTCCCCGCCCCATCCTCTTGTAAGTTTAGGGATGGCATAAAAGCACAAGTCCCTTTCCTCCCAGTCTATTGCAGGAACTACTATATATGAAGTGTGATCAAATAATACGGTGAATGTTTAAATTAAAAAATTTATTACAATAAAAGATACACTGCCATTAATCCCCCTCAAAATACTCCCCCTTGCTTTGAATAAACTTATTCCATCGTTCTCGCCACTTTCTGAAGCAGTTCTGGAAGTCCTCTTTTGTGAGTGTCTTTAGTTGTGCTGTTGTGGCTGCCTCGATGTCCTGAATCAATTCAAAATGTTTTCCTTTCATGGTCATTTTGATTTTGGGGACGAGCCAGAGGTTGAACAGTGCCAGATTCGGTTAATAAGATGCATTAGGACACACTGTAATGTTTCTATTGGGCAGAAATTGCCATATACCAGAAGTGATGTGTGACACGAAGCGTTGTCATGATGGAGTATGATTTACGGCACACTTTAAAACACACCTTCTCTTCAACAGAAGCTCACACCCAACTGACTGCACTGAACAAGTTGAAACTTTTCACACACTGTTACTAAGGTTCAATTCGCCACTTCCCATACTGAAGATCCTGCCTTTCTGTTGGATGGCACTCCACAGCAGCATTCATGGTATTTGTTGATCACAACGGAAAGGCTCCGTGTCACACATCGCTTCTGGTATAGCAATTTCTGTCAAACAAAAACATTACAGGGCCGGCCGAATGGCGCACTGGTTAGGAGTTGGCATGGGATGCCAGCTCTGAGCAGTAGGGCCCTGGTTCAGATCCCACATGGGCCAGTGACACTGCGCTCTCTACAGCTGAGATGGTGAACAACAGCTCAACCTGGAGCTGGGCTGCTGAGAGTTGCCGGCGTCAGCATAGGCTGCAGTGGGGCTGGCCGGCAGCTGGCGGACAATTTCGTGAGCTGCCGTGAGCCACCGTGAGCGGCCGTCCAATGGCCAGAGAGTGACTGCCTCACCCGGGAAGAGCGCAATGATAATACCAACATGGGCTAGTGAAGCAGAATCCTCCACAACTAGACTGAAGAACAAAAGGACAGCAACTTGTCTGTTCCCCTTCCCCAATTCCCCAACGCTGTTCCCCCCCAATTCCCCAACTAAAAAAAAGAAAGAAAAGAAAAAAAACATTACAGTGTGTCCTCATCCACCTTATTAACCAGATCTGACACTGTGCAATTGCTGGCTTTTCCCCAAAGTCAAAATGATTCAGGACATAGAGGCAGCCATGACAGTGCAACTAAAGACACTGACAAAAAAGGACTTCCAGAACTGCTTCAGAAAATGACAAGAACGATGGGATAGGTATATTCGAAGTGAGGGGGAGTATTTTGAGGGGGATTAATGGCAATGTGTCTTTTACTGTAACACATTTTTTAAATTTAAACATTCACCATATTGTTTGATCACACCTCATAAAATTTCCAGTTTTAAATTTTCCTATTTCAGAACTGTTAATCACTACAAAAGACAGCTAAAGACAAATGTATCTGATTTGCCACATTTCCAAAATAAGGAGAATAACATGAAACTTTCTCTAAACAATGTGAGATGTGTACTATAACTTAAAAGAGAAGAAGTTTTTTTTAAGTCCCCACAAATTTGTAAAGATTACCCTGGGCAGTGTGGAAGGGGGGTAACAGAACAACTACTTACAAATCCACAGAAATAATACAATACACATTAGGAGTAAAAAGAAATTATTTAAACAATTCTAAATGCTCTAATATCTCACTCACAAGAAGTGCTATTATTCTGAGCTTCTAATTCTAACATGCATATATTGGACAGGTTTTTACAAGACTTAGTTGGAGTTTATAATTATTCGCGATAGCTGGTTTTGTATGAACACAGTCAAGTTTCTAGTATAGGAACAGATGTAACTTACCCTAAATGTAGGAAACAATCATGAACCTGTTCAGATAAAATAACCCAAGGAAAACAAGCAAGTTTTCCTTCTTCCAAGCCCTAACTTAAAGATTTGAACCACAGCAGTTCTGACTGCTGCACCCAGCCCCATTCGAGGCATTACACAGCTTTAAAAGTGACGATTCCTGAGGAAGAGTGACACCTAAAATATCACCTTATCCTACTTCACCCAGTTCTGCCTTCTTTGATTATTTTCTTATAATGACTAAACAACTGGACACAAAACTGCTCTCAAGAAAATTATACCAACTTATATGCCCAGTACCAGTCAGTCACACCTTTTTAAAAGTCACTAACAAGTTAGGCTGAAGAAGGCCTCTCCAGACCCGTTATAAATTATGGTTCAGGATGACCTGAAATGGAATATTATAAATGCAACGACATTTTAAAAATTATTTGGATCTATACATATATATTCAAGTGGAAAGCTGTCTACTATACAGTAAGGAAAAAAAGCAAATATTTAACAGTATATACTGTATAATCCAACTTTTGTAAAAAGAGAAGTGTATCTAGATAGCTAGGCAGATAAATAGAGATATGCTGTGCATGCATAAAAACTTTGGATACCCAGTAAATGCACCAATGGGATAAAGTCTGAGGGGTCAGAGAAAAAAGTAATCTTATATCATTTTTTTTAAAATGGTGATATTTAGTTTCATAATTATAAAGGGCAAAGAATTTTTAATTTCTTCCATTTTTACAAAACAGAGTGAACAGACAAGAGATCAGTAATCAGTGTTGGTCAGGATGTGGAATGCTAGGAACACACAGTGCTGGTGAAAATATAAATCGGTACAGCTTTGAAAAACATCTGACATCACCGGTACGGTGAAGATGCGCACACCCTACGACCCAGCAATCCCTTTAGGACTTGAGCTGCTCTTCTTCATGTGCCCTCAAACCTGCTGAGGGGTCTGCAAGAAGATAAGTTTGCAGCAGAACGTAGCCCAGCCACTTTACTAATAAGCTGCTGCTTAACTCAGATGCCATTGTCCCTGTAGCCAAGCCTCTCTTGATAAAAGCAGTGCGTTCATTTCGTTTCTGGTGCAAGTTTATCTTGTCACAGATTGTCACTGTGAGTGCTACTGCAGTAGGAGAATCACCTAAGATTGTTCACAGCAGACCTTTATAACATGGTAAGCCTGAAAGGCTGTTCATCAACATTAGAATAAATAAATTGAATATATATGTATTCATATAATTCATAACAGAGTGATAATAACTCAGTTACACACAAAAATATGGCTAAGTCTGGGAACCACACTTGAGTGGGGAAAAAAGTGAGTAAAGAAGAAAATGTATATACATGTTTTAATTTATATAATAAGGTCCAAAAATACCCAAACTAATCTATTGTTGAGAGGTATAAACAAAATGACTGAAAGAAATAAAGTCAGTCAAGGAAATGATAAGCACAAAATTCAAATTAGTGGCTACCTCTGAAGTGACAGAAAAGGAAAAGGGACCAGGAAGGAGAAATTCAGTGAATGTCAAAGGTCGTGACTTAAAAAACAAAAAAACTTAGGTGGAGAGTACACTAGTGCACACTGTTTTCATTATCCCATAGATATTTATTATTTCTAACCGAATGCTTAATAAAAAATGATTTCGTTGGAGGAAACCACCAGTCACTAGGTGTGTGGTGGCTCCTGCGTACCTGATAGCTGGGTGTGACAGAGTACTGGATTCCAGTGGCTGACTGCATGGTGTCGGACACAGCCTCATACACAGGAGGGGCAGGGGCCAGCACCCGGTGCTGGTGAGGAAAAGCCTCTGTGCTGCCAGGGAGCCGACGCTGCTGGGCTGCATACACTGGTGACTCCTGGTCATCCAAACGTCGCTTCATTCTGCGCTCATGCTCAGGGATGCACTACACAACCTGCAGAAACCACAAGCAACAACATGCAAACCAACTCGTGCTCCAGTACTATGCATGCAGCTTAGGACACGTCACCCAAGTTTAATATGAGCTCACTCCCGGAACCAATGGCCTACTTCGTCCTGGAGGTGATCACTAGACAGTGTGAGTGCTTGTGCACACATCCCCTCCAAGTGGGCAGGTTTCATCATTGAAAAGACACAATTTAAATGGCACATTTAATTAATTTGTTACTGTAGAGCTGAAACTTAATCTCCAGTTAAGAAACACACAAATAACACCTTTCTTTATTCTCTACTTTTTCTCCTCAAATGCCATCATTCCTACTATTAATTACATATTCACATGCTACAAAAACATGTAAGTACTTCTTCCTAACTCCTCTTAAAACCTAGTATTCTAGGGCTGGCCAAGTGGCGCATTGGTTAAGAGCTGGCTTGGGACACCAAAGGGCCCCCATTCGGATCCCACATATGAGGGCCAGTCACACTGCCCTCTACAGCTAAAACGCTGAACAACAGCTCAACTTGGAGCTGGGCTGCCATGAGTCGCTGGCGACGGAGTAGGCTGCAACCCCTGCTGCAGTGGGTTGCCATGGGCTACCGTGTGTAGCCCAGCAGCCACCATGAGGGGCGGTCCAGAAGCCCGCAACTGATCTGCCTCACCCGGGAAGAGCACAATGATGGTGCCAACATGGGCCAGTGAAGCAACGTCCTCCACAACTAGACTGAAGAACAAAAGGACAGCAGCTTCTCTGTTCCTCTTCCTGATTTCCCAGCACTGTTCCCCTCCCCCAATTCCCCAATAAAATCTTAAAAAAAAAAAAAACTAGTTGGGAAGACCCCATACAGCCTTACTACTAATCAAAGAACTACAAAGTAAAATGACAGCCCAAAGCAACTGGCTAAAAGAAATTAGGATATTCAATGTGGTTGAGTTTGTAGGGAAACAGTGTTGGTGGAAGTTTTAATTGGTCAGGCTATTTGGTAGGCAACTTACAGGCATGTACTAAAATTTTTAATTAAATTAAAAATACGCATACCCTTTAGCCCAGCAATTTCACTTCTAGGTCTCTATCTTACTTATCTGCCAAATATATTTATTGCAGAAAAGTACAAAAAATTTAAATGTCTATGAATAGCTAAATAAACTTGATACAGCCATATTAGAAAAACTATGTAGCAATTAGAAAGATTAGGGTTCATCTACAAGGAAAGTGGTCCTTAGTGAAAAGACAAGCTACAATGTGATCAACATACAATGTACCTTATGATTTGTGCATTTCATTGTATGTAAATTTTACATCAAAAGGAAAAAGCTATAAATAAGTAATGAACTCTAGGTAAGGATATGCATGCTCAAATAGTCAGGTAAAGGTGTATGAATGCCTGAAATTCACTTTGAAATACATCAAGAAAGTAGTTTGGATTAATAGATGGAGGGATAGGTAAATGGAGACGTGATAAAGCAAGCACTGTAAAAATGGTAATGGAAAAATCTAGGGGTGGTGTACATGGGTGCCCACTATAAAATTCTATCAATTCTTCTGTATATTTGAAAATTTTCTTAAAATCTTGGGAGGAAAAGCTAACAACATAAATCAGCTCACAAGTGGTACAAATAAGTACATATTATAAATTTGGAAATGTGTACATTGAGAAAAACTCTACAGAGAAGGTAAATGTTTAGCTGAATCTTGAAAATTAGGGATGAGTTGGGGCATAGGGGTATACAGGATCAAATTAAAATATTACAGGAACTGCAGATTTACAGGCAATAGCTATTTACAATCTTTGCCAATTTATCTGTCCCGCATATTTATTTCCCAGTGTCTACACATGCCAGGCTCTGTGCTTAGAGTGGGGTCTCGCGCCCTGAACAGGACAGACCTCCTGCCCTACAACAACCACATCTTCCAAACCTGACTGCAATCAGTTGAAGTGCTCCTCACAACAGTCCTGTCAGATGGGCACACCCAGAACCCTCCTATTTAGAGGGCAACTGATACGTAAAGAAATTAAGTGACTTGTTCAAGGTCACATAGCTAGCTAAAGGAACAAGAGGCTAGATTCTTTCTCCTTGGAATACATGACCAACCTGGAGTAGAAATATTGGACGGACTATAGCATGCTGCTTGCAGAAAGGTACAGTGTAATTCCAAGACTATAAAATATTCAAATGCCAGATGATGGAGCTGCAAGTCAGACACAAGGCTACTTTCAAGCTCTGCTTCAGCTGACATGATTTTCACATGCCCCTATGGTCTCCAACTGTTACAGATTTAGAGCTTACACTGTTATCAGAACTCCTGTCTCTGCAGGCAGTTTATTTAATAAAACAAACAAAATAAAACAACAACAACAACAAAAAAAAACTTTGAAGGCCGGCAACTTGTCTGCTCCCCTTCCCGATTTCCCAGCACTGTTCCCCTCCCCCAATTCCCCAATAAAATCTTAAAAAAAAAAAGCACTATGAGGGATTTGGAGGGATGGAAACTAGTGAAAAGGACTAATGTGAACAATCAGCAGAACACTAAAAAAGTCACCTGGCCATGTGAGATAATAAAAAGGTGGGAACAGCTCCCAATCATCATGCGAAGTCATCGTAACACCTAAATAAAGCATGCAGAGCAGGGCAATTCTGATACAGCAGGGGAATCTTCCGGAATGGGGTAGAACTGGGAGCAAATGTGACAGCTTTCAGACAAATGTTAGAAGGGTAGGGGTAAAAGCTAACCCTTTCAAAATAAGAAAAATAAAAACCAATTTTCTAGTTCTACAACCTAAAATATCTTTAATAAAAAGTTCCCCTCCTTGGGCAGCCTGGTGGCTCAGTTGGTTAAGACATGAGCTCTGAGCAACAGGGCTGCCGGTTTGATTTCCACATGGGCCAGTGAGCTGCGCCCTCCGCAACTAGATTGAAGACAACAACTTGAGCTGAGCTGCCGCTGGGCTGCTGATGGGCCGCCAGATGGCTCAGTTGGTTAGAGCGTGTGCTCCTAACAACATGGCTGCTGGTTTGACTCCCACATGGGATGGTGGGCTGCGCCACCCCCAGTGACTGGACTTGGAGCTGAGCTGCGCCCTCCACAACTAAGATTGAAGGACAACTTGACTTGGAGCTGATGGGTCCTGGGAAAAATACACTGTTCCCCAATACAGTTAAAAAAAAAAAAGTTTCCCTCATAGAAATCCAGACATTTCTCCATGATTACTAAAATCCAAACAGAAAATCCAACTTTAAAGAATCTTATCTTTTCATTTAAATTACACAAATTGGCTTAAATGGATTAACAGAATTATTTTAGTCAAGATAAACTCAGAGTAATAGAGTATACAAAACAAATTACCCTATTCTGGATGCTTTTAAGTCTATAACATCGTACTTTCTTTTTGAAATGTATTTAATTTATGGTTGACCCTTTAGTGCCTGCCTTTCTTCTGTATCGAGATCATCCTGAATTAGGCACATTTTTAAATTCCTTTCTATAATAAGAAAATCCTCTGAAATCATTCTCACTGGTGGTGATCAGCATCACATAAACTGTGTCCTGCTCAGTTTACTTCTAGAAAAAAAGAAAGTTTCTCTTCAGAAGCTAAGGAAATTTTATCAAAGCACGAAGTGAATGTAATTACTTCAACCCAGTGTCAATGCCCATCATAATCTACTTCAAAACCTGTCCCAAACTCCACTTCTGGATTTAACTCTGCTAGAAAATGAAAAGGATTCCAAAGTAAATGAAAAGACAATCTATTTACATTTTCCATATTACTTAGAATAATAGCTCAACAAAACTAACAACCTATTCCTCTCAAAACACTACAAGATCTAATACCCAATTTTCCCCTGTCCTTCCAATGAGATAGATGGTCCTTTACCAGGGAGATTTTGCCCCACCGAAGCACATCTGGCAATGTTAGAAGACATTTTTGGTTGTCACAAATAGGGGAAAGGGTGCTACTGGCAGTTTATGAATACAGAACATCCTACAATACACAGGGCAGCCCCCTACAACAAAGAATTATTCAGCCCAATATATTAAATAGTGCCAAGGTTGAGAAACCTCGATCTAATATAATGATAACCCCATTTAGAATATACCTTTTGTGAGCTTTGGTGGGATTACTTCATACGGTGGTGTGACAATTTTTACCACGGTGGCTCAGGACAGTCATCTTGGTTATGCAAAAGACATCACTGCTTTCTTTATGACATGATTCACCTTTAACCCTCAGTATACCAAAACAACTTATCATTACCATTTGGGTGAAAACTTTATTAAAAATGTTAGTAATGGGGCCGGCCAAGTGGCTCAGTTGGTTAAAAGTGCGAGCTCTGAGCAACAGGGCTGCCAGTTCGAGTCCCACATGGGCCAGTGACGCTGTGCCTGAGCAGCTGCCGCTGAGCTGCCAGCAGGTGGCAGGATGGCTCAGCTGGTGAGAGAACGTGTTCCTAACAACAAGACTGCCTGTTTGATGGTGGTCTATGCCCACCCGCAACTAGGACTGAACTCGGCACCTTGAGCTGAGCTGCCAACCGGATGGCTCAGTGGATAGAGCACGTGCTCTTAACAACAAGGCGGCTGGTTCAACTCCCACATGGGATGGTGGCTACGCTCACCCGCAACTAAGATTGAACACATCACCTTGAGCTTTTAGGTGACGAGCTGCCAAGGGCAGCCAGATGGCGAATTGCGCCCTTCACAACTAAGATTGAAGAACAACAATTTGGCTGGTCCCCCTTCTCCAACTCCCCAACACTGTTCCCCTCCCCCAATTCCCCAATCTTAAAAAAAAAATGTTAGTAACAATGTAAACAGCAAATCCAATTATTCCACGTTTTCCTGGTTTTGAACATATACCCAATATAGGCAATATCCATTAAAATGAACACTATTCATCAACTGTGATGCATGAACTTGGAACATGGCCATTTTGTAAAATTTTGATCCCAGATTTCAGGTACATCTCAAGTTCTGTCTTATCATCACTTTGGGGTCT